CAATTAATATTCAATGGCAATTTTGTCCAAGAGGTTTAGGTTTACTTAAGGCTAAGGGTTGCCATTAGTTTTAAGGTGAAAGTTACAGTCAGTTCCACCTTTGCAGAGAGAAAATAACAACCTGTGACAGCTGTGTGATTAATGCCTCTGATCTTATTGTTATTGATCGTAGAATGGCTTCTATATTTACTTATCTGACAAAAAGACGGGTGGTCAATATTTAATCTGAGGGCTGAGGACATAAACAAAAGGCAGACACTGTGGCTGTGGCTGCCAGTGAGGCTGGAAGCAGCTGTAAAACGCTTAATGAAACTGACAGACCATTTACTGCATCAAAATGAATCAGAAACTGACTAAAAATATTCAACATGTCGATACTCGAAATTGCAGTTGCTGTGGTAAATGTGGCTTAAATAAAGCATTTGATTTCAGTCGAAATAAGCAGAGAAAACGTATTGTAGTTGATGTAAAGGACGTTTTCCATTGTCTCACCACACTGCAGGCTGGAATCAGGGAGCAGAGCACACATCTCAGTGTCCCAGTTGTCCATCTCCCAGTTCACCAGGTCCCCCTCTGTACAGTACAGGGATGTCACTTCCTGTTTGTTGCGCTCTCGCCCCCACAGCCGAAACAGAGATAATTTGCCAAACACACCGGTTAATGGAAAAGTCTGGATATTACTGCTGAGGTGTGCCACACCCAGAGTAAGTGTCCCATTGGGGGCCAGTTTGCGGTATGAGGAGGAAAAGGACTCAGAAGAGTTGACAGTGTGATCTAGGAGAGATGAAGGTATCATGATGCACAGAAGGGTCAAATACACACTAAAATTATCACAGAACCTGAAACAGCAAAATCTTTTAGTTGTCAGTTTCCCCAGAGCCAAAAGAACACAATGTAGAAACAAAAGAGTATAATTCAACTTGTCATGCTTCCCTTTCCTTTGCTATACTCTGAATCTAATTTTCACTGTGTGTGAAGGGAGGCCCACCAGAACAGCGTTGCAGTAGTTGAGGCAAGAGACAATCATCGCCTGGACCAAGAGCTGGGAGGCGTACTACGTCAGGTAAGGCCTGTATATTTCAAAGAGGAGGGATCCCAGTACAGATTTTTGGGGCACTCCTGTTGGGATGGGATGGGATGGGATGGGATAAGGGTTTTTGTCCTTGCCATCACACCCTGTAGGAGCACCCAGTGAGATAGGATTCAACCCAAGAAAACGCTTTGCTCAAGATGCCCATGGCGGAGAGTGCAGGATGTTGTGGTTCACTGTATCAAAGGCTGCTGAGAGGTCCTGCAATATAAGAACTAAGGACTGAGCTGCAGCTCTAGCTGCCCTTAGGGCTCCTGTCACAACAGCCGTTTCAGTGGCTGCCCTTAAAACCCGACTGATTTGGATTAAGGATGTAAATTCGTTAGAGGAATTCTGATACCTGCTTGAAAACCACCCTTTCTGTACACTTAGATAATTATGGAAGTGGTGAGACAGGTTGATAGTTCTCCACTTGAGCCGGGTCAAGTGAGCTTTTTCAAGCAGAGGAGTTACTTGAGCTTGTTTGAATGTGGTTGGAAATGTTCCTGAAGCCAGCGAAGCATTTATCACGTGTGACTGCTGGCACAATGGTAGGAGATACAGTTTGGATGAGGTTTGTGGGAATGGGGTCCAGCGCACATGTAGTAGGACGACTCAGAAGTTTCGACACATCAGTCTCAGTGAGAGGGGTGAATGAGAGAAAAGATATGTCCTTGACCTGGACATGGACATGTGGTAAGACTACTACATATGTATGTGTATGTATATATATATATATATATATATATACATATATGTGTACCCTGCAGTAAAACTCAGCTTTGCACTGTGTGTTGTCTCAGGGTGCATTGAGATTTGATTTTTACTGCAGTTTTTCAAGCAAACCCCTGGGGCATACCCCTTGGGAGAAAAACAACTTCTGGCCCCCAGGTGACTTGAGCTTTGAGAAAACCTGATATGACATATAAAACAAAGATGGTAACAGGACACCTGCAGTATATAAAACACAAATTATGAGAAGTAAAAATAACATAATCAGACCTGACTGTAAGATACTACACCACAAAATAAAGCCTACCTGGCATCATGCCCACCAAGTTGCCATTGATGTATAGGGCAAGTCTGTCTTTCGTATGTGACCAGGTCAGGCACAGCGAGTACCACTGTGACATACCAAGGTTGATCTGAGGGGTCGTCCACTTTGTCCCAAACAGCCAGACCACGAAACGACCCCGCTCCCCCCCCAAACCCAGCTCAACATTTTGACCATCAGGATGGTGGTACATGAAGGCGGTCCACGGTGAGATGGCCTGCACCTATATATGGTTGACGAAATATCATAAAAACATGATTCCTACAGACTTCAACCATGCAGTCCTATTAAATCTGCCTCTAAAAGTTACTGTAAGACTAAATGTAACTTACATCCTTTTCCATCAATACCTCAAACTTCAGATGGAGGCAAACGGTGAACTCCTGCAGGGCGGGGATGGAGACGTGAGGCTTTAATGTCAAGTGGCTGCACTGGTAATTGAAGTCGGCCACCTTCCCCCATAGACTGCACTGAGGGACTGACAACAGAAACAGACAATATACAGTGAACAACATACAGTAAATCATTAACCTGCAGCACATAGGAGTAGATCTGTTAGAGCAAATAAGAAGAGAGAGTGTGAGCTAACAAGTGTTATATCACTGTGAAGCTACTTTTTGTACATTAAATATTTTAGACAAAGATATTATTGATATATTGATTGATATATTGTTAATCCAAACTTTCAAGTCATATAGGCCAACATGATATGTAACTTTGAACCGAATGACAGGCACTTACAAGGTCATATAATCATCAAATTGAACACATAACTGTTGATATTCACAAATCTGCCATGAATGCGATGGAAAACCATGTAGTTTAAAGTTAGAAGTGCTCAGGAAACTTCAATTTATACCACTTTAATTAAAGCACTGTTTGTAATTTGTACACTAACAATCGACTCGTTTGGTTACTTTTATCAATAATGACTGATCATTTACGTTGTAAAGTTCAGAAAAATGCCAGCATGCTCTTTTCAGAGCCCAAGATGTTTATCAAGATGTTGATATCATTTTAAGTTTTTCAAAGACAAAAAAGAGATGAAACAACAAATGTTTGACACATGCTTGATAACTTTTGGTTGATAAATCTTTAAAATTGTTGATTAATTTCCTGTTGATGGATAAGTTGACACATTTTTTTTTACAGCACTTTGTTGGAAAAATTTAAATTCCAGTCTGCAGAAGATTAATATGTAAAGAGACACAACAGCCTCGCTTCAGCCTTTTGACCTTTTATCTGCAGCTTAGACAGACCATATTCTGTATGTAATAGTGTAGCCATATAGTGTTTAAATACTGTAAACTGTGTTTGTTTTAGATACTATTTATAATCAACACAGTGACTTTGAGACAGCACTGATGAACACACAACAGAAAAAGGCTTTTATCTCTGAAAGTGAGCTCCTTATCTTCGCCAGCATCAATTATTTTCAGTTGTCTTGTCTTATTATTTTTTTAACCACAACTCTATGAATTATTATAAAATTCACTGTCACCCCTTCCTCCACTCACAATTCAACTTAGAGCCATTTAAACCTTTAGACCTACCTGGCTCCACAGAAGAGGCAGGGCTGCTCAGCAGAGACAAAGAGACAAATACATTCAGGAATTTTTGAAAGATAATCATCCTGAAATTTGAAAAAAAAATAAGCTTATTATCTTTTCAGTATCTTTCAGTAAGTAATCATCTCTCTCCATTAAATTATTTTTAGCCACCTAAACATTTGCTACCATTTATTCTGATGTCCAATTAAAAAGTTTTATCAAACACTGTTCATGCCTTGAAAGAAGTGAAGAAGTACTTACCTGCATAAATGAAATGATGCTAAAAGCAAAGTGGAACTGTGAAGGTAAAAATCTGGTCCAGAATCTCAAAAGCAGCAAAAGACAACGCTGGTTTCATCCAACAAGCTCTGAGACATAAGAGCATAAGATGAACCGCAACCCTGTCTCTGCAAACAAAGACGATATGACTGTGTGTGGAGCGGAGAACACCTTTTCACAGGTGTGTTCCTGCTGTGATTGGTCCACTTGTGTAATTATGTGTGTGTTCAGCTGTGTGTGGGTGAGAGACAGAGAAAGGTGGAAAGAGAGGGAGAGAATGAGTATTTACATATTGAAAATCAAATTAAAGTTAAAAAAAAAATGAACTGACCCCCAAACAAAGGCATAAACTGTAAGGTAATTACTTTTGACAAACATGCGCTGCTTTCTGTAAACACACTCCCTGCATATGTGAAGCTAAATCACTCTTTAAAGCTCACATAAAAACAGCGTGCTGACCTTTACTAGGATGGTAACTGTCTCTGTGTGTCATCTAACTAATCTAATCTATGTGAAGCAAGGAACATAAAGAAATGCCATCAATCTCTCCAAAATGTTCAGTAAATTATTTTCTGTCAAAAGGCTTCAGACAAAACTTGGTGCCATACTTACTTATATGAAGGTTCATATTATTAAAGGTCCCATATATTTATTTGATTTGTTGACACATAAGAAGATACATTTGTGGTTGAAGGTCGGTGGACTGACTGTTTCTGAGTGAGTTCTGGGGAATGGCTGAGAGCGGCGACTGCTTTGTTGCGACATCACAAAGTTACAGAAGTCCTCACGGCTCGTTTTAAGGCTCAGTTTCTGAATACAGGCTGTGTGCATTTCTCTGTGGACTGAGCGCTTTTATACTTTCACAGTATTAATATAGAACCTAGACCTGCTTTATAATCAAAAAAGACATGGAAATTTATCTTTAAACAATATGAGACCTTTAAACAGATAAGTTCCCTGTTCCCATTTCCACAAGGAACAAATTCATAAAAAAACCTCTGGACCTTTAAAATCTATGTATAATGAATAAAAACAAAATGAGCCGCAGTTTTGTAGAAAGTTTATTTGATTTTAGCAACACATCGAAGCATGCAGTTTGCATATATTCCAATTTAATATATATTTTTCATCTTTCCCTTGAGGAAAAATGGCTTAGAAAAGTGCATAGCAGTTTATTTACTTACATACAATAAGCATATCAATCTAATAGGGAATAGGGAATTAGCAGTTACAAATATAGATTAATTTTGAATAATTAAAGAAACAACTTTTTTTTGGTCATAGGAAAATATCACTTTTTAAACACAGAAAAACAAGACATTAAAGTCACTAACACAAGCAGTAATTTGTGCTAAAAGAAGATGGAAAAATACAATTAAAATTATCCCAATTTACGTATTTGTTTAAAATCCATGTGTCATTTAACATCAACATGAAAGCATTGATTTCTGAGTTTTAAAAAACACAACCTTTATCACAACACTAGCCTTTAACCTTATGTTTGAGTACTTGAACATACACTGGTCAAAACCAAAAACTTAACTGAATAAACTGCTGTTAGACAGTGACCAGGCTCTCCATCACTACTTGTTGCCGCAGTCGGTGCAGAGGATGTCTCTTCCCTTGGCTACAAAAGGCTTGTTGGCCAGACCGAGGGAGCATCTCTTACAGTTGAAGCAGTATTCGTGCCAGGAGCTGCCCTCGTAGTTCACAACGTTCACTCCTTTACCGAAACCTGTGAGGAGAGAGGAGTTAGAGACGTCTGCCGGTCTTTTATTTCCTTCATTTTTATTTACTTCGGCTTCTGCTATCACACCAAAGATCTCTGAGGACTGTAGTTTCAAACTGTTGATGGGAGACAGTCGATTCTCAAAAGCCTCAAGGAAGGAACAGTGTACATTGGCGAGTGTGGATGCTTTTCCTTTAATATGTTTGACTAGATTATATTAACTAACTCTGAACATTATAAAGTTTTTGAATACAAAGTTTAAGAGTAAAACTCAACATGTTCATGTATGTTGCCCTGTCAGTGTTTAATCATCAGCATTTTATAACATCACAATCTTAAGTTTTAGCTAAAGTTTACCTGTGATGGGGTTTTGGCAGCTGCTGCATTTCTTAGCCACAGAGCTCTTGTAGCAGTCGACGCAGAAGACCTGGTCCTGGTGGTTGGTGAAACTGGTCCCTGCCAGAGGCTTTGAGCATGAGCTGCACACAAAACAGTGGCTGTGCCACGGCTGGTCCTGGTAGTTCACTCCACCAGAGGTTATAGGCTAGAGACAGATGGAGGAGAACAGCTAATAGTATGAACAGTGGTATCATCCCAATGTTTATATCAAAATCCTCCTTGTTTTATTAATTCAGTTTCAAGGCCACACAGAGATACACTATTGGAAGAATGAAGGAGGAGGGCTGGTATGTTACCTGTTGGCAAAAAATTACCTGTTTGCAGCCGACACAGTGTTTGGCAAACTTCTTGTCATAGCACGGGCTGCAGTACGTGTCACTTCCTTTGGAGAGGAAACTCTGCGACCCTATTGGCCGTTTACAGTTGAAACAGGTGAAACATTCATCATGCCACGTGTTGCCTTTGTACTCCACACTCTCTGTGCCTGCAGGAGACGAGAGAAGAGTTGACAGTACTTCAGGGAAACAAGCGAGGAATAAGTACAGTCTGCAGATGATAAATGTCTTGACTAAGTTTTTTTCTTTGGATTTTAATTTGTAATCTCCAACTGGTTTTCCTCTACAACAACACATAGGTCTTTGATTTTTAAGCATTGCTTTCTTTTGTTACAACATCAATGTTTGCAGGTCATCAGTCTCACCAGCCAGTATGGGTTTATAGCAGCAGTGGCAGCGCGGAGCATCCTCTCTGGAGCAGCACTTTCCACACATGATGCGGTCGTCCTTGGTGCTGAAGGGCTCCTTGGCCAGAGGCTTGTAGCACTTGGCACAACGGAAACACTCCTCATGCCAGTACCGGCCCTTATGGCTGAGCTCCTGATGCAGGAAGAGAGGGAGGTTTTCTTCAGAGGTACGTGAAAAGACATATAAAAGGGGTCAACACTGTCAAATTGAACAGACCCAAAGAGAAATGCGTCTCATCTCACCTTCATTTCCACAGAGATGGGTCGGTGGCACTCGGCACAGGAGTTGGCGCAGAACTTGGTGTGGCAGCGGACGCACACCGGCCTGCCCTCGCTGCGAACGAACCTCTTCCCACCGAGGTCTTCCCGACAGTAGAAACAGTTCGAGCTGTCTGCCATTGTCACACTGAGGGAGGCTCACACCTACGGCGAACGGAGGAAGAGAGGAGGGAAGGTAAACTCATGCTCATCATGAAGTCAGCATGTAGAAATCATGTTAAAACTGATACTGATTTTATGAACTCAACTACTAATAACTTCAGTCATTCTTTGCTCCAAGGATGAAAAATTCTCATCATAATTTCCCAAAGGTGGCAACTGAAACTCCAAAATGCTCAGTTCATACCTCATATTTATTGCAAATGTTTGGCATTTTAACTTGATAAATGGCTGAATTTGACACTTTTGACTATCAATAACCACCACACGGGGCCGCTGGTGCTGCATTTTTCTGTAAAAGCAACAGAGCTCACATGTCAGTTTCAGTGTTTGTACCATGTTGTTTTTACTGCTAATCAGCAATAACTGACCTGAACTGAATTTCACATCTCTTCCAGTAATCCATCTTAAGGAGGCGACCTAAAATCACCACATGGAGGCGTTGTTGGTGCATTTAGTGTGACTGAATAGAAAGAAAATTTACTGCTGCTGTTGTTTAGATGTCTCTCATTACTTGCTCCGATATTTGTTTTATTTGAAAGCATTGCTGCAACACATCTGAGTCTGTGTGTGCCCACCTGTGTGCTTGCATACTGTATGCGCACCACATTAATGTGAGGGCAGCATGTTCCTCCTCACACCCTCACATCTTATCAGCTTTAAACATACAACTGATAACTTGGCCAATAAAGTTTGATGGCTGATTTGAGAGGCAGTAAAATTACCAACACCCACGTCATTTAAAATCTTAATCAGATTCTTGAATTCAACATACACATCCCTGTCACAGTAACTAATTTCCTCATTGTGCTGTAAGCCGACTTCATTAGTAGTTATGTCACCAAATCTGAAGTTTGTAGGTCATGCTACAAAGTCATGAAGTCATTCATCATGAGCGCAGCTCTAAGACAAAGGAGTTTATCTATATTTCTTATGATTATTAACAAACAGGTGACACAGTACTGTTTGCATTACATACACTCTGGAGTTTAACCACTTACAGTAACACAACTCCCATTTTTCTGTTTAGCCTCTGTCTATCACTGGAGGCATTTTCTGAGCTGTACACAGAAGGACCTTGTTTACTGTAAAGTGTGGGGAAAGTGCTTATTATTATTCTGACATACAATCTGCTTAAAGATCAATTCATACAGATTTGTTCCTGAAAAAATCTAAAAAAGATATTTCCTAGTGAAAATCAGTTAAAAAAAATAATATTAAAAAAAACAAAACAGTGAGCCTTGATTAATTTAGTTTTATGTTACTTTCCCATAGTGTCTGACTACATGTATATACTCATCAGATGATGATCAGGCACAACTTTTACTCTGAAAAGACCTGCAGCTGCCTTCAGCCGTGACAAACTCCCAAATTATGAGTCCATCCATCCATTTACGCAATGACTACACTTGTACATATAGTTTTAATGTGCTTGTATTTCATTTTCATTTTTATATACTTCTACCCAATACAGTACAATACACCAGATTTTCTGCCTTTTAACTCACTACATTTGTTTTATTTTATAAAAAATAAATTTTATATTTATCAAATTTGTTGCATTGTTGTGGATTATAGCATATAAACTAGTTAAAATTAGCTCCACCTCCACCAACTACAACATTGTAGACATTAATATATTGCTATTAATGATCCAATAATATAATATATGATAGTATACTGTTACCCAAATGATTTCTGTACTTCATTAAGATTTTGGATGCAGGACTTCTACGATTAATGGAGCATTTTTACATTGTGGTATTGGTAGTTATAGTTAAGTTAAGGAGTCCATCTCAGTACTGGTCAAGTGAAATTAAGTCCCAAAACTGAACGAAGGATTGTGCTCAATAATTCAATTATAGATTTGTCTTCAGCATCCTTATGTAACTGATTCCTTACACCGCAGAGTCCAAAAATCACTCCCCCTAAAATACATCACACATAAACTTCCTAAACATAGAGCCGAAAATCACAACGTCAACCACAACAACACTGACCAGAGAGCTGTGATTACAGGGTCAGGATTTCAGACGGCGAATAATAGACAAGATGAGGGCAACATCACGGCTACACAAACACACAGAAACATAGAGGAAGAGATGGATGAAGTCTGTTCACTCTGTTATTCACGCCGGCTGCCTGCGAGGAATTCTCCCAAAGTGCTGTGAGAGAGCTGAGGGTGTGTGCATGTGCGTGCGTGCGTGCGTGTGTGTGTGTGTGTGTGTGTGTGTGTGAAAGAGTGTGTGCCCTCACTATGAGGTGAACACATGAAGGAATGCCTGGTATGACTAATGTGGTGAGATCTGGAACGTCGACAACTCTTTTGACAGAACCTCCACACACACACACACACACACACATACGCCACACTCACTCACACACTCCACCTCATACATGGACCACTCCCTAGGAAACCACCAAAGCCACAAACTATAGCATTTGCCTCTTGGTTGGAGCAGCATGTCAGCACAGAGTCATGGGGAAGTTCTGCTTTTGGCTCAAGACCGACGTTACCACGAGTTTGAGCTGCGTTCACAAACATTCAAATCCTGCCTTTTCTTGTGTCTTTCCTTAAGCTCTCCGCAAAAGTCAGAGTTGGGTCAGAGATTAGTTTTTATAGGCAAGGCCCGAGGGATGTGAGCCTTTTTTTTTTATGCTGACAGACGCTCTGATGCTTTCAGAGGGGAAATCCTGGATGTCCACAGGTGTACAGAAGTGGTTGTTGGCTGTCTGTCAGGTGCTGTAACTTGATCTTTATGTCAAGGACTTGTACTACAAGTTGATCTAGTTTAAAAATCATTCCCCAGACCATTTGTTTTTAAATCAAGAAATCATTACTCAAAGATTTTCAGTTAAAAATAGCTGTTGTTTGTTGATGTTAAGTCTGATCTGGGAGGATTGTGACAAATGGAAATTAGAGTTATGGCCTTTTTTGGTCTGTTAATATTCAATGGAACTCCTTATTTTCTGTTTGAATGATTTCACAAGACTGACAGCCAACAGCCATATTAGCAGCTTAGTGAAGGGCTGTGAGCTAAATGGTAATGTCAGCATGCTAACATGCAAGAATAATATAATTGTGTTCGCTATCTTAGTTTAGCATGTTAGCATACCGACACTTACTAATTTGCAATGAACACAGGTACAAGGTTTGTTCATAAACTAAAGTATTGGACGAATTGAAATTTTGGCCTGATGATGGCGCTAGAAGAATCTCCATCTCCAGAGCCATGCTGCTAGTGTGGCTAAAAAATAACATTTGCAGCCCAAATATTCTGCAGCTAAACAATATCTTATTGGATTACTTAATGCAACTCAGTTGCTCTTTTGTGTATTTTTTCCCCCATTTTTCTATTCACTTTCTTACTAGCCGAGGCACATGCTGACCTTATTACTGAAAATTGTTCTGAACTGAGTCCTCTGACAATTTTCTACAAAAAAGAAAATACTACAACTTCAATTAAACCACTAACTTTTTCCCACTTAGGTAGAAACCGAAAATGATCAGACCCAAATGTTTTTTAATTTGATTGTTTTAAGTGATTAAATTTAACCTGTTTAAAGAAAACATTTTACCATTGTATTTACAATTTTTTAATGTGGCCAGAGAGGAAACACATTTATACCAGTAGCTGACAGCACAACATAAAGTAAAAAAAGCTTTTTACAGTCCTCCACTTCAGGCTTAAGCAATTTCCACATGTTAGTTTGTTACTCAGAGTCAGACTGCTGTTTGACTCAGCTATGTGGCTGAGGTTCATAAAGTTGATTCAACTTCTTTTGTGGTCTTGTGGTCCACAACAGCCTCACAGGAGGCCAGCATCATGTGGAGTGGACATACATCTTCCTCTCAGTCACCTGCTAATTCGTTACTCATTAATGAAAAAACCTGCAGCTGGTTTATTTGTTCACTGGGCGAGGTAAATCATCCCTCTCCACTGGAAGACAGCAAAGACGACACTCCTCTGCTCTTTACCTCTTTTCATTTTATCTACATGTCCTTCTTGCTCTGTCACTTCCTGCCTCTCACTAAACTAATAAGAAATAATATAGAATTTTCTGTGCTTTCTGTCCCTTTCTTTGCTTGTTTTTCCTCAAAACTGACAAACTTAGTAGAAATACTTAACATATAGGCCACATATATACAGTATATACACTGTATATATACAGTGTATATACTGTATATACATACAAACAGTAAATGTAAGGCTGTAAGGCAGGCAGTAATAATGCTTGGCTAACAGCATCGTTAAAATGTTATCTGATGGGAGCTGAACAATGGCTGACAGGAAGCGAGCCAGTATCCACACAGGTTGGGAGAAAATAAATCAGGTTTCACTGACGTCAGCCGGCTCCCGAGGACAGTGTTGCTACATGTCTTCACTTTGTTTTTCTGCAGTAAATATTCTTGCTTTGTCGTGACACAACGGCACGTATACATCATTTTCTTCTCTCCAAGCTGCCAATACAAAACCCTTATGTTTGATCTCCATGGAAACAGTTCAATATGAAATGAAGTTGTGACGTGCAGTCGGAGCTGGAGGCAGGGTTGAGGGCAGCGCTGCAGCCAAGGAAAACTCTGTGTGTGTGCTCGTATTAATCACATTGTGGGGACGTCAAACTGTTCATAAAGTCACATTATGGGGACTCGCCTCCCATTTGGAGGCGAAAACCGACATTACGTCTCATGGTTAAGACTTGTTCCATGGTTCGTCTGAGGGTCAGGGTACAGCACGTAGTGGTTATGGTTAAAAGATAAGGCTGATGTTATTCCACATTCTTACTATCATCAGATCAACTCAAACAGGAGTAAATTGCGCGTTTGTTGAGGACTATTTTCAGTCACAGATAATGACTCAAAATGAGCTACAGTGTCCATATTCAAGGTAATGAAGGAACATTTCACCCAGTGCAACTTTGTGGCTCATTCATGTGTTTTTAATAGTTTTGACAACAGTGGAGGTTTGAGTTATATCAAGCTC